AGACGTATTCCACCATGTTTTTTGATCGATATCAGAATTAGAAAATAACATGATCTTGACAGTTTGGACACGTACAATTCCATGTTTGATTTTGAGTTACAAGACCAAGCTTTGTGGTTGAAGTTGAACGATAGATCCATCAGAAGATTGTGACACGTGGAATCTGTTTGGACCAAAGTCTGTAATCTTGTCAGAGATTTAGCATGTTACAATGGTATTATGACATTATTAAAGAGATCTGTTCATCTAGATATTCATTTGTCAGGCCAATCTAGCCCCTTTGCCTGGAATGCATTCGAGATGGGGCTCGGATTTTTTGCCAAGGTGTGTTAGGGCCATCCCCAATGAAAATTTGAAAATCTAAAGCCCGGAGAACTTATTTCTAACTATTTGGAGGTGCCTTATCAGAATGGTCATCTTTTTGGTTTTGTGCTAATACACTGCAAATTAATCAATCTCTGCTGAACTGAAGATGGTTTTGCTGGCACTTAATTCTCACTTGCTTGAGCCCAGACCCTGTGGACTCCACCCTAATGAACTGAACTGGGTCAATCCTAAATGATTTGTTCCTCTTGGTATAAGCCTACTAATGAAAAATCAGTTATCTTATCCTAGGATCTAGTTTAGCCTCCAGTTCAGTGGTTTTCAACCTGTTTTTGTATGTGTTTCCAAAAACAAAAAAATTAAGTAAGTCCTGGGTTAAGTTAAGGCTTTAGCAACTTTGAGGTCTTTTGAAATTGCTGCCTTTCTTTTATATCATTTGCACATTTGATAAATGATGTGCCGAATATAATTTATTCAAATCATGATGGGGTTCATATTGCAATGAACTATATCTATCAGAGAGGAGTACTTGATATACAGCAGATATGAGTTTGAACTAGAAAATGAGAGTATATTTAATGTTCTATGTAATTTCTGTTGAAAGGTTGAAATGTTAATTGCTTGGTGTTGAACCATACTTCCTACACCATTAAAATGAAAGGCTAATAGCAAAGAAAAAAACGACAATTTCTTCCAATTTTGGTTTTTTAGGTCCTTTCTATCAGCTGGTTCCAGTAGTGTTGCCAGCCTTACGAGACGAGGGGGTACAAATAGGGGGCAGACTGATTCAATGTGGAGACAACTGCTGAAGCTGTATGGATTTTGTGCATTCTGACACATATATTTTGGAGAAAAAAGTAGACATTAAAGATGTGTTGAAAATAAAGTGGGGGTACAGTTCGGGGTGCAAACCACTTTGCTAAGTGGGCAAATGCATACCCTGTATCCCCACTGGCTTGTTGGCATTGATCTTTCCAAGTTCATCCATGATCATGTACAGCTGGGCGGACTGGAATAATGAGGAAAGATGACTTATTTAAGGTCATCAGACTTACAAGTTCAGAAAATCTCTTTACAATCCCTTATAAGGAGGTCTCTTTAAGACTGAGATTGCTGGGGGGTTGTGTCAAGGTTCAAGATGAATTAAAAATAGGTTCGGTCAATCTAACTTCCTATTCACCCACCATGATGAATGATCACGTAATTTTTTCTAAGACAAGTTTGGCATTGATTCTGCAAGGATTAAATTAAAACCAATAAATCAGCAGAAATTTGGCGTCAGAGAATTGATCCCAATTCCACTCCACGCCAAATTTCCAATCTGCATGCAGCCTTGTTAAAGAGAAATTGACAGCTCAATTCTTTCTGAATGACTTCAAAATGATGCGATCCGTGTTTTTTTTCTTTAAAGAAGTTGTCATGATTGAAACTTAAATGGTTCGGTTTAAAGAGATTTTCATCAAGTAGTGTCATTTACAAGTCTGAAATTTGACAAATCTGAGAAACTGATAAAGATGTGTTATTGAAGGAAACTTTAAGACTAATTCTGAACTTTGTCATGAATGTTATGTATGGATATATCTTTAAATGGTTAGTTTTAGTGGAATTGCAAGACCCACAGAGGTTTGATTGAAAATTTGAATGGTGTAAGTAAATCATTGCACAGTAACAAATTTTGAACTTTGTCATGCAGTTATGGACAGCCTTCTTTTTCATGTTACTGAAACAAGTAGGAAGGGTTCGTGAAATGTTGATTCTAGTCGTGACATTTCTACAGAAGCTGGCTTGCCTTTGCCCCCAAACCCCTAGTTTGAAATTTCTAATCATTGAGTTCTTAAATGCCTGGTGTTATTGCACATCTTTTGCTGATGAGTGGTGTTTCAGATTTACAATCCTCATCAGGACAAACAGTTTTGGAAAAGAGTATTAAGGTACCCACATTCAGGCTTCCTTAGAGGATCCTTTAGTGTGCTTTATTGGTACAGGCGCCTGATAATGATTGTATATCCAAAACATCAGTCATCTTATCAATATTAGCCTAATATCACATAAAATCATACTGTTCTATGATATAACTACGGAGGTCATTATGATAATTATAGTTAATTACCCGGTATCTCCATAACGATAATAATTACATTAACCTGACGGGAATTATCCTTAATCTATAAATAGTAAAGCTAATCACCCGCCCGGGAAATCGGGAATTATTATGTAAATGAACATATTTGATAATAACAGGAAATATTAGTTGGGAATATCAGATAATGGTTATTGCCTTTCTTTATTACTGATATGATCATTCAGACCTGTAGCTAGCCCAGAGTGTCAGAGAGGGGTGGGGGTGTGGTAAATTTTTCAAGGGGGTCTTCAGCTATGTAACACCCCAGGCCCCCACTTCAGCTACCAGTCTGTGTTCAGTGCCATTTTTGCTAACTTGAATTGTCACATTTGATTTTCTTAGCAGTTGTTTAATATTATTATGTAGCATTTCTAAAATTTGCAGAAGCCATGAGGGTTAAATGATTTAAAATGCTCCAATTGAAATATTAAGTGGTAGAAGTAACTTCTTTGCTTTTATAGAAAAGGCTTTTGTTGCAACAGTGTTTAATGATTGACTTAACCTGCCAAAGAAAGGTATACAATGTATAATTCTTCTAGTAAATTGTATAATTCTTTTAGTAAATTGTATAGTATTGTATAACCTTGTATTGTATAACATTGTATAATATTGTTGTATTCTATAGATCTGACAGAATAATGATTTATTAACATTGATTATAGTGATATATTATTTCATTAGATTATAATTAACTGTTACAGTGGCAACTAGCATCAAATCTGGTGTGCCATCTGTTCTCATTTTCACTGAAATTTTCATCGACTTGTCTTTAATACAGATTTTTGCTGCAGATCGGGTTAATACACTTTAGAGCTCTAGTCAGACATGACTGGTAAATACATTCAGTAATGGCATGACTGGTAAATACAGAAAAATCAACAGTCTAGAGCTCTTGCCTGACAAGACTGGCCATGACTGGTAAAAAAAATGAACTCAACAGTTTAGAGCTCTAGTCAGACATGACTGGTAAATTCAACGAAATCAAGAATCACTATGACATATTTTTTCGTAAAAGTACATCAAGGCAGCAATGAAATCAATATATAAGGTCAAATGAAATCCTGCTATTAGAGAAGACAGTATGAGAAATGATGGAAATACTAGCAGGAATTATGGGATATTTTACAGTTCCGTTGTTCGATGATTGGCCTAGATGTATGATAGGATGAAATCAATATATTCCGTTTTCTAATACCTACTATAGATCAAATGAAATGGAGTTTTACATCCTTCTTTACTGCTCCTCATTGGGTTACTGAAGCCATGCAGTGGGCAATGAGTGAAATTTTGCCAAGACAGGTTTTATAACATTAGCCCAATCTTTGTAGTGTTATGTTTTACTTTTCTACAGCTTGGGCTTACAAAGTAGAGCAATGCCATGCAGTGTGCAATGAGGCAAATTTTGTCAGATCAGCGGCATTTGCTTTCTCTCTTTCACTGTCCAAGTGTTAGAACAGCATAGCCAATATGAAATTAAGATTTCATGAAACCAGCTAAAACTAAATAGACTTTTGACATGTTGGGTTCATTACAGGCCCCATAGTTTAGATATATCAATATATTTCTATAATATATAAATAACTCTTGATATTAATATTAGATTACTACCACTGTAGATTATCAAGTAGTTATTATTACCATCAGATAAACTTGATGATTGTCAGTTGGTCTCAATCTTAATTCAGGTTTCTTGACCAATACCATTGCTCTCAAACTTTGTAATTTTTCCTCCATGCCAAGTTCAATATTTGTAGTGGTCCTTCGCGACTAGCAGAGAATGCCCATCTTTCCAGTACATCTAATACCATGCTGTATTCCTTTCAGAGATTCCACATAAATAATATTATTAACATGGATTTTGAATCGTAACTAGGCATTCATTTCAGAGAGTCCACAAAGATAATACTGTTATTTGTGGTTAGGTTTGTCCACTCAGAATCCCTTACAGAGAGTCTACATAGCTAATAATATATTTTTAGGTAATTAACCCATCATCCTAATTTCAGAGAGTCCTCATAGATTATAATGTTAATTTGGTATTTAGGTTTGTCAATTCAGCATCCCTTTCAGAGAGTCCACATAGCGAATAATATATTTTTAGGTAATTAACCCATCATCCTAATTTCAGAGAGTCCTCATAAATTATAATGTTAATTTGGTATTTAGGTTTGTCAATTCAGCATCCCTTTCAGAGAGTCCACATAGTTGATAAAGTTTTATAGACCATTATATATTTCAACCTAACTAAGTACCGTGGATGCCTTATGTTGAATAGTAACCAGTTACTTTGCCGCCATTCAATCAACTTCAATGGATACCAGTTGTGACTCAGATGTAGCAATGTTATTTTTGGAAAATAAAATGTTTTCTAAGTGAATGGTAGACTGAGATCAGTTTACTGGCACAGTCAGAAGTCTGTTAGATTCAAGTTTAGACAATAGTTTGAAATAACAGATTTTATTGGTATTAGTTACTTATTGGCATCAACTTCTTTTAATGCTTGCCAGCCTGGAAATAATCGGACAGAGAAAATTGTCTTTTGTTTGACTATTGTTTAAAATTGGGCTCCTGGATTATTTTCATTGCTACATATTGTTTCCTGTATTTAGTTGTTACATATTGTTTCCTGTATATAGTTGTTACATATTGTTTCCTGTATATAGTTGCTACATATTGTTTCCTGTATATAGTTGCTACATATTGTTTCCTGTATATAGTTGCTACATATTGTTTCCTGTATATAGTTGCTACATATTGTTCCAGAACATTAAGCATGGCCTGTCTCAACAAGCAACATCTGCTACACTGTTAATTTTATATTTCATGAGAAATTTGAAGAAAAGTCAAGAGCTCACAATATTTACCCTGCAATGACACTTAGAATCTTATTTAAATTTCATCAAATTTTTGATAAGAATTTCCAGCTGCTATGAATGCCTCAAGAGAAAATTATTACAATGTGCAAGCTATCCTATCTAACGCTAAATTTAATGTTATTTTTATCCCCTGTGTTGTGCTTATTCAATTGAATAAGGCCATTTATTTTCTCATAGATGACAGAAAAATCAAAAATAAGAATACAGGAATAATATCTTACTTAAATACAAAATAAATCTAACTATTGACATTATAAAGCTAACTAAAATATCATCATGTAAGATGGGGTAACAAACCACCAACATATTGGTTTATAACAAGAAGCTAAATTTAATGTTCTCTTTAGTCATGTGATTTTAAGGCTGAGATGAGAAATTTCACAATTCAGTATCCAAAAGTCCCAATGCCTGCTATAAGATTTTACTCTTGTCTAATCTGATAGTCTCCAAATATCTAAAATGTGTCAAAATATTTATTTAATGGTATTGTAAAGAGGTTTTCAAAACTTAATTTTTATGTTTATCAGGACATTTTTGGCAATTTTTTCATCGCAATTTTTTCAGTCAGAAGTCTATGGTTCCTGTAATTATAGAAATGCTGAACTGTATATGAGGTCACTATTGCAAAATCGGCTTAAAATTACACTGAAAGTACAAGAACCACAGACATCTGATTGAAAATTAGAATGGTGCAAATTGATGCCATCAGTGTCCCGGATACACATAATTTTGAGAAAATCTCTTTATAATCCCTTTAAGCTATCTTTTGACATCAAACCCAAAATTACATAATGTAGACTAAGATAGAAAAAGATCAAGTATACTCTACAAGTCATTTTCAATGATACTTAGCTCTTATCAGGATCCTATCTCACTTATGGCTCTAAATTCTCGTTAATTTATTTTTTATAAAAATTAAACTAAGATTCTCTTTTAGATTTAAAAAAATAAATTTTAATGAAAGTCATATTCACTGTTACAAAGCGTGAGAAATAGAATGGTATGGAAGTTTACATCCTACGTTTTTACGCCTGATTGAGTTAATGATGACGAGCAGCACCATGCAGTCTGCAATGAGGGGAATTTTGTCAGAATGATGGTATGAGCTTGCACAAGTGTGAGAAAAAGATAAATCTGACTCGCAAAATAGAAAATAATAAATAAGAATATTCTGGGCAATACCATGCAGTGTGCTATGAGGCGAATTTAGTCAGAAAAGCAAAATGAGCTAATACAAAGTGGGAGAAAGAGTTCCATCTCGACTTGACTTATTTTTTGCTGAGAATCTTAGGGGAAATCATATCCGCTTCCTGTCTTTCTAACATATGTTAACCTCCAAGCATCTGTGTATTTATTTTGCATTGTGTATTATCATTATGTTTAAATTGTTCCCAATGCATTTTGGGTAAAATCGTGTTACATGTGATTTAAAGCATGGAATTTCTTTTAATGATATAAACTATGTGTAAAAGATATATTTTTTTTCTGTTTGAGAGAAGAACTGTTTGTTGTCTAGTTTGCTTAGACGTGTAAAATGTTTTGTAAAGAGATTGTAAAGAGGTTTCTAAATGTTTTATGTGTACCCGGGACAATGATAGCATCAATTTACATAATTACACTTTTCAATCAGAAACTAAAACTAAGTGTTTTATGACGTCACTATATCTAAAGCTAGTAATATTATATAAGACCCTTAGCGATAGTGACGTCAGAAAATTAGTTTTAGTGGAATTGCACGAAACACAGACGTCAAATTTTTAACTGGAATGATGCAAATTAATGCTTTCAGTGTCTCCGATACACAAGTAAGTCAAGGTTTTTGCCTTAAGATGTGTATATTGAAATGTTTGTATCAGTTCTGTGAACAATTTGCCTGCCTTAATTCATCTCCAAATTCAAATGTTCTGCAGTTTTAGTGTTCTACATACACAATACTGTTAAGAAATATTCAACCACCAGGAGGAGTTGTATTCAGTTATAACAGATGGTAGATGATCATATCACCATAGTTAATCATGTACATATGCTTGGCACTGGGAAATCATTTATTTTCCTGGCTAACAAATTTCATGCTTTCCTTCAGAGACCTATATTCATTGATTGGTATATTTTCTTAAAGGGATTGTTAAGAGGTTTTCTGAAATTTTTTGTATCAGGGACACTGATAGCATCAATTTGCTTCATTCTAATTTTCATTCAGACGTCTGTGTTTCCTGCAATTCCATTAAATTTAAGTGTTTGATGAAGTCATTAATCGTGAAGGGCCTTATGTACTAAAGCATATTTCCTGATTAGTGATGTCTTTTTAGTGGAATTGCTGGAACCACAGACGTCTGATCAAAAATTCTGCTATCGTTATCTCTGATACAGATACAAAATTTAGAAAATCTCTTTACAATCCCTAGAAGTATTTGAATAGTGGTTTATCAAATTGAAGATAGGAGGGAAACTAGAAAATGCATGAGGGTGAGAACAACAATGAGAGGTGTCTCCGAGGCAAGGCTTCAAGGGCTGAAGCCCCTTTAGGTCAGAGGTTTCGGGTCTCGGGTCTGCCAGTGTCCCCCAAAAGCCCATGATGGCCTGAGATGACTTTGAGCATATAGAGGGCCGTCAAAGAGTCCATTCATCTTAACTACAAATAGAATATCAGGGTTTACTAAGTCTCTTGTGAAGTGAAAAATACACAGATATTATAATAAACAAATACAGTGACATGATTGGTGGAAGGAAAGAGGAAATAGTCTTCATTCATCTCATATCTTGTTTATTTTTTCTCTCTTTCCTGTCATTTGTAATTTTTAAGTGATTATTTCCTTCGGAAGTTTTTTGAAGATGTGTTCTCAAGATTATATTTATTGACAATAAAACAACATTCTACCAATTTTGGTAAAAAAGATATTAATAGTAGGTTTACATTGTATCTTATATACAGGGTTACAATTCCTCTATATTTACCAGTCATATTTAACTATGGCTCTAGACTTTTATCCAGTCTTTAGCAGTATTCACCAGTCATGTCTGACTAAATAAATGATTTTTCATGTCAGTCCCTCTCGACCCATTGTAAAAATATAAAAATTCTACCAGACATTATTTTCACAAGCCTGACCTAATGAATGGAATAAGTCAGTCTAATTAGAACATGTTTTAACACAAGACTGTGAAACTTACACAATACTGGTCTACATGATATAAACAATTGATATTTGACTCTGTTTTTACCATTGCTGTGTTATATTTATTTTCATCTTATATCTTCTAGTCAAATATTCAAGTTTGTCTATGAAATGTCATAGTTGATCTGTATTCAGAATAAACTTAAAGGGATTGTAAAGAGGTTTTCTAAATTTTTTATGTGTATCAGGGACACTCATAGCATCAATTTACACCATTCCAATTTTCATTCTGACGTCTGTGGTTCCTGCAATTCCACTAAAACTAACACGTTTTATGACGTCACTAGAGGGAACTACCTAAAGCTACCATTTCCCCTCTAATGACGCCATAAAACGTGTTAGTTTTACAGGAATTGCAAGAACCACAAAGTCAGATTGAAAATTGAAATGGTGAAAATTGATGCTATCAGTGTCCCCGATACACATAAAAAGCTTAGAAAATCTCTTTACATTCCCTTTAATTCAAAATTCTAGAATTGCGGATAAAATGGGGTCACAACAGAAAGATGGAAAATTCAAGTTTTTTTTTTCCAATTGTTATATTTATTTTCATTTTATATCTACAAGTCAAATATTTATCAAATGTCATGACACAGTCAGAATAAAATTCATTCAAATTAACACAATAAAATTGCTCTAAATCAATCAAGTTTAGAAAAAAAAATAAAAGGAAATAAACAAGGTAGTCTGATGAAGCCAGGGAAAATTTGTTAGGTCTGCTGTATTAGGCTATTATTTTTTTCAATTTCCAAATGTCAAGGATTCTGCCACATAGTGCCTTGGTTTACTGTTTTATCCGAGTGACTAGACCATCTGACATGCATCACTGATGAAGGGAAACCGTGTAAAAAAATTCGAAGTATTACCTCGATCTTTGCTGGGATTGAACCCTAGACCTTCAGGTTAGTGAGCGAGTGTCTAACTCACTGAGCTGACAAGAATATAGGATCATATGCAAGCAATCCTATTTTAACCTAAATTAAATTAGTTAAACCTGTACAAGGTATAATAAAATTGTGAAGTAATGTTAAATATTTCAATATGATCTACTCTAGTCTATTGAGATATACTGTCAATCAAGATAATATTGTAATGTGTACATTTATTCTCAAGTTTCAAGTAGGAAATGTATTGACTGATATTATTATATTTTCTCACTTTCAAGTAGAATATAATACAACCAATTTAAAGGTGATGTATCTAGCTACTTCACGAAAGTTGCCCATACACTCCCGGTTCCCAACCCCCTGGGGTGTTCTCACCTCCCGGGGGTGTGGGACTAGGGTGTCAGGGGTGTGACCAACTGGTGTAGGAGAAGAATTTATTTTGAATTGAGAGAGCACCTCACATTATCACATGTTGAAGATGGGATGAAACAAATTTTTGGGGGTGTGAAAGGTCCAGATGATTGCTCCAAGGGTGTGAAGGCTGAGAAAGGTTGGGGAAAACTGTCTTACACCATAATGATAATAGTTGCTAATGGTTGCGAATAATGAAAGTGGTCACGTTCCTAACACAACTCACAACTCAGTTACATGAGAGTTGAATTCAAATTTGATAACCACTTTTCTTATTACATTGTCTTCATTAGCCCACATGGTGCAGAAAAGTAGGACGTAAAACTCCATTCATTTCATTTCATTTCTTATTACACAACTGGTGTGAGGGCCACATCGAGCAGATCTATTTGTGTATTGGTTTGCTGTGATATGGTTCAAACATATACATGCATAGTTCAGTTCATTTTGAGGTAGAATAAATGGCAAAAGAGACTATACAAGTTCTTAGATTGAGTTTAGTTAAAGCTGACTAAAAATGGATCACATTTGAGTAAACTTGAGTAGAATAATGTTTATTTGTTTTTTTCAAATGTGATTTGGTATCTTTTAATACAGGTTGTACCGAACTATAACCATTCATAAACAAGTAATAGTAACAGTACTTAGAAATTGTCAAGTCAGCGGTCATTTGGTACATGTTTTATACTATTTAATCAAAATTGTAATTAAAGGGCTGGTTTTTATAAACATTGTAGCAATTTCCTGTTAATTTTAAATCTTTAATTACAAATTAATCAAATTGAGTGCAGGAGCGTGTTCTGAATCAGAAACAATTAAAGCTTAGTTTTTATATTTTGTTTTGTAAATTTAAACACACGGACGAAACTTGTGAATAATATATGAGTAAGGGCAATCCCTCCTAGTATGAATTTGTCAAGATTAAACAGAATTCATTTCAGTAGTTTATATCCATTTTTTATTTAATCGCATTAGAACCTGACTTTATTCTGCAATGTGCTACATAACCCTATCATATGAATCGATCAAAGTTTAATTACAATTTAGTACTTTATAATCAATTTGTAGTATTTAATTGTACGAGAACCTGATTTTATATTCTATGAAGTACTAAAGGTATCCATTCAGCAACTTTTTCATATGTTCAATAATTAGGTGACTAAATCACTTAAATCTATATTCATCAGTTTATTGTTAAAGTACATTTGTCAGTTTTCATTGGTTTTTATATAAATATAATGAAAGAAAAAGACAAGTACTTAATTGAATGAAAGACAGTCAATTGATGAAATAAAATTAATCAATACTCAAATCTTGGACAGGATGTCTAGAGACCTATTTTTCACAATGTCTGTAATAATAAGGGTTGTAAAGAGGTTTTCCAGTTTTTTATGTGTTTCTTAGTCATATGGCTTGCTATTTGCATCATTCTCTCAATTTTCTGTCAGATGAAACTGCTTAAACCTCTATGACGCCACTATGACAAAAGCTGTATTAGTATCTTGGCCTTTCTGATAGTGAAGTCATAGAACGCTTAGTTTTAGTGGAATTGCAAGATTTGCCGATGTCTGACTGAAAATTGTCCACCAGTAGAATCACCAGCCTATTTGTGTGTAATAAATATATCTAATAAACAATATTAGCTACTGGACAATATTGACCACCAGCAATGATATGGTCTTATTGATGTTTATGTTATACCCTTGAAATTATCTGACAACCCAATATTACACCCGAATACAACCAAATTAATATTTTATACTAGTTGTTTTTGACAAGATTCTCATTTCTGTAGATTGGGTTCACACCTGACTGAGTCTAGATCTAATCTATTTCTATTGGCTACCCAATGAATGGGTGGCCGTATTTATCATGATTTCGAGTCAATGGGTGACTGTCTTAATAGGATTTCATCCACTTACTTTATTATCTCAAATCTTTAAGATGTTTTGATTAATGATAAAATTCATCAACCCATGAACGAAATCTTGAAATTACGACAAAAAATGTGATTTGATTTAAAGAAATTATTTTGTACTTGACTGATAAATTCACATCCTTTAAAAGATGAAGGTGAATTAATTCAATGTTTTTTCTTTTGAATTTATGAATGAATGAAAATTTGTTATTTGTACAAAGAAACTCTATATGCTTACTGGCAAAAATCCTTCCTTCTTAAAGGGACAGATTCACCATTCGTTTGACCAATTGTAACTTAGTATCAGAAACAGGAATTTTATCAACTAAGTTAATCAGTACTAGCGTTCAGAGCTCTCTGTCGAAATTTGAGCTTTGAAATGCATGTGTGTCTAGAACATATAGATATATATTCAACACCCAAAATCAACCCCCCAAAATGGCCAAACTGTCTCTTTAAGGTTAATAATTCATTTCATTTCATCATCATGTTTTATTTTGAGTGTCAGCTATACATGAAACACATATTTGAATATTCATTAAACTTGACAAAATGAAATAAATGTAAGCTCAATTAGTAATAACAAGTTCAAAATCCAACAACATACAATTTAACATCTACTTTAACACACAACTCATTCTGGTTGAACTTCTTGGATCAACAGACAGGTACCATCATGCAGTGCAAACATTTCACACTGGAAGCCTATAGTTTTTGCTTTGGCACTTTGATGTCAGAAATTAATGATTCATTCAACAATTGTAATTTTTTCACTTCAGGTATGTCAACTATTGGTAGTTCATGGTTCAAAGGTCAACGAGATAGACAATGATGGACGAATTCCTCTGATCCAGGCCGCTCAGGAAGGACATCTTGGCATTGTACAATTATTGGTGGAACGAAATTCTCACATCGATCACAAAGCTCACGACGGTAAAACAGCGTTCCGGGTGTCTGCCGTGGAAAACCATAAAGATATCGTGCAATATTTACTGGATAATGGAGCCAATATGAACAACTGTGATGCAGACGGTCGAACAGTGTTGTACGTACTCGCTCTCGAAAATCATTTAGAAATGGTCAAAATTTTGTTACGTAACAAGGCAAATGTAGAAATCCCTGACCTAGAAGGACGCACCCCTCTTCACGTAGCTGCTTGGCAGGGCCATTATGACATGGTGGAAACATTGATAAAATCCGGAGCGAATGTAAACGCCATTGATAACGATCTTAGAACTGCGTTACAATCCGCAGCGTGGCAAGGGCACGAAAACGTTGTTCATTTATTAATTGAAAATAGTGCTAACGTTGATCACATGTGTAACCAAGGAGCCACAGCGTTGTGTATCGCGGCTCAAGAAGGGCACGTTGATGTTGTGAAAGTTCTACTAAAATATCACGCTAATCCAAATCATGCAGATCAATATGGCCGTACACCAATTCGTGTTGCGTTAAAAAGTGGACATAACTCTGTGTGTAAAATTTTAGAAGATTATGGAGCCACTCCTGTTGGTGTAAATAAAAGCCGTAGTTCATCGTCAACGTCAAGTAACGAAACGAAACCTTTAAATACCACAGCGCCCCCTAGTAGTGTTATAGTTATAGGAGGCCACGCCCTTCACAGCTCCCCGTCAGAATCTCCAGAATCCACGTACGATCGTCGTAAATCCTATCATTCGAACAATTCTAAATCTTCCAGTAACCTGACCTCCTCAACCAATCAGAGTGCTCATTCTAGTCATGTGAAAACAGAGGCTCCTTCTGACCAATGTCTGACTTTCACTCAACAACTTCAACAGTGTTCAATGGGGAAAAATCGCACAAGGCCAGTAAGTCGCGTTCTGTCTCCAGTCAGTGAGCCACAATCTCCAGATCAAACTCCCCCAGTCTCCCCTAACATTCAAGGACAGCAGAAATATTCCCCAGGGGTGGATAATAACATCAACATAATGGCCCCAGCCCCGATAAAAAGTGGAAGCTTAAAACAAGAAAAGATTTCAGCAACGATTAACATCATTACAAATCCCAACGCAGAAATGATGAGCTCTGTCGAGGAACCAGTTTGGCAAATTAACCCAGCACTTTTTCCACAAAACGTGAAACGAAGTACGAGAAATCAGCGTGCGAACAATCAGGACACGCCCACTAAGTTAATGATGGGCCAATCAGCTTTGGAAATGCGATCTCCAGAATTACGTAGAAAGAGAAACGGAATTGTAACGAATCCTAAAGTCATAAAAAGTCCAAGTGGAAGCCAATTTAACAAACTGAAGGATGAAAGTGAGAACCCTGTGATTCACTCAAATGGATTCTCTAATCTTGACCCCAGTCCCACACGAGGTGGTACCAGTAAGGGGCCAGCTAGACCTAATGGTTTACCTATCAAGAAAGAAACACCATTATAGGTCAGGTATTAAAGGTAATTTACCAATGTTTTTTTTGAAAAGTGATTGAACCCAAACTTCTGTTAGTCAATTCTGAGATGTCCCAAAGTAGGCCTGTACCAAATTTTTATCACAAATAATGACATTAGTAAGAAATTATATATTCCAATGGTATGTGATATCATCTTGATAAGATGGCATAGCTTTTGATGAGCATAGGAATATTGTTGCAATTTTGGAACTTGCAGATGTTTGTCTTTCATAATGATGACTGACGAACAAAAATTCATTTATTTTTCATTACTGGGAGAAACTGACATGTTCACATCTATGACCTAATCAAGTCACAGTTTAAAAGTCTACAAATGAAATGATAAAGAATCATCTTGTCAAAGAAGTTGTCAAAGAGTAAACGCTCTCTGCTAGACACTCTGTCTTCTCCAAGATAGCGTATACTTCAAAAGTCATTCAGACAAGACACGGACAGCTTAGATCACCTTACACACAACAACTAATAAAAATACCTTAAACTTCCTCCAGATTCTTTCCATCTTGAAACTTAAAATTTTTTTTTTCAGGTAGTTAGTGCTCCAAATATTGCCAAGTTATTGAAAACTGCTGAAGAAATGAGAATGAGGTCAAACGAGGGAGGAAAAACGTGACAGCCATAATTTTTGTGATAATTTAAATCTCATGCATAATATTTATACATTAATAATTGATTTTGTGAATGTTCTATAATATTTAAAGTCCAGAAGAATTTTTTTGTGTCGGGCATTTTTGTTGTTCAGTTGAACATGCCTGGCCAATAAAGCTCAGTGATTAATATTGTTAAAATGCATGGAATTTTTTACTAAAAAAAGCCAAAATGTGAAATATAAAGAATATAGTAGATGTACCTGTTTGAATTTATTTGTCTGTTTTTTTGCAACTAATTCATACCAAAATAGAAATTATAGATATTTTGTTTCATTGTTTTTCTATGGGTTACTTCAATCTGAAAATGCATGGTTGGATTGTACGTTAGCAAATACAGCCAATCACAGGCCTCGACAGAAAGTTGGTAATAATAGGCCTAAGCTATAATGTTTACCCTCTTTCTGAGTTGTATTCGCTGGCATACAATCTAATCCAATGGATCTCTTAGAATAGGAAAACCATTATGAAAGTCATACAATAATTAATATTAATATTATTAAGGATTTTGAAAACCATTTAAAACATTTAACCAGTTTTGTACAATGTGTATATGTCTGTTAATCTATTACAATGAGTTTCAGGGTTGAATTCATTGTGTTGTTACAATCGAGCAAAAATATTCCTGCAAATCTGGAGACAACTCTAAACATACACATGAACAGTAATTGAAACTATGTAAGTCTTATATTGTGTGGATTATTACTAAAAATCACCAAATCTAAATTTGAAAAATACCAGTTTGTCTCACATGTCCAAAATGAATTCATAATTAGTTAAATTAGAACAGAATTATCAGCAGAATTACAATGAGTGACCCGATCAAGAAAGGTTAAAAAGTCATTTATTGTTTATCCAGACTGTACATACATGGACATTTATGATTGGTTAAAACTCTTAATTATATGCAATAAGAACATAATGATATGATTAAGAATTCATTATAAACACCAATGAATCAAATAGTTTGCTTAATTTGACACCAAAAAATACAGAAACCCATCTTTAAACTACCTTCAAGTTAAAGTGGACTGATGGTGTTTATGTTTTGAAATCATTTTTGGATTTTTGTTCTAGTATATGTAAAACCAAGAGAATATTTATAATATGTAAAATTGTACATGTTTGATGCAAATATTTATAAAAAATAGTTTGTAGTGTTTATATAAAGCGTTGCTACACATTTGCATTTTCTTTGTCTTGGTTAGCCAATCAAATTCCTCAGAATTGTGCAGTTGTGATGTTCATATACATAGCTTGATCTATATGGAAATGTTATTGTCTAAATTTGTAACAATTTGCATATGCAATGTTGGCCAGCTTCATGAAAACAGAAATCTTATCCCAGTGTTCAAGAATATAAGGGTTTTGTTAATATTGTGAAGTCAATTTTGTTTTACAAAAGTAATGTTGATTTATGACTTTCAATAGATTATATATTTCTCAAAAACCATTGACTATATTTCCAACTCTCCATTGCGACTGTGACATATATATTTCAAAATATAAACTAAAAATTGACACAGACCACAGACTGCTACTTTTATAGGTTTAGGCATGATGTTGAAGATGTAAATGTGAGGCAAAGCTGGAATTGGAAATAAATATGATGCTTTTATTGTGCTTTTTGATGTCCTGTGATTCTATAATAGTGAAATATAAATAATTAAAGAAGCCAATAGGCGAGGTAAGGTGTTCGGCACAACTTGTCTATTGCAGGGTTATTAATACAAAAAATAATAGGAATAGGTTAAATCATGTCTGAACAGATAGGTATTCACTTCTATCAATAATCTCTTTTGGACACCCTACCAGACAAGCAGACACCCTACCAGACAGGAAGACACTGTTACACCCTACCAGACAGGAAGACACTGTGACACCCTACCAGACAGGCAGACACTGTGGGTCTAGTCGTATCTGAACAGCTTTATAAAATATACTATGATTATAATAAAAGTGTTGTATATATTACATGTATTATTTATATCTATAAGCTAGTCGCAGTTCGTATTGAAATTTATTATAAAATCCATCTTTTATGCAATTTTCAGTTACTGAATCGAAGTAATCTTGTCTAAGTAAAATTGCAAAATATGTACTTTAATCTAAATTTTCAATTTAGGAACCAAAACTTGTTCTGATATAAGCTTATCCATGATTCATTGACTGCTTTAATTGTCCATAGAATGTTTAATTTATAATTTTGAAATATCAATGCCAAGAGGTTTGGTCATGGATCAGCTGGTAGACAGAATCCTCATGAACCTAAGTTGTCATCCAATGTCAAGTCGTTGCCAAGATATTTAACCAAGCTGGTAGACAGGATTCCGTATAAACTTAAGGTATTATCCTTGTAAATTACCAAGAGATTAGTCCAAGGATCATTTGCTGGAAAGGATTCTGGTAAACCTAAGTTGTTATCCTTGTAAAAAATAGTTCTTTCTTTACTTTCTTTGTGTATTTCTATTTCAATCAGTAGCCTTCAGTAATTAAAATGTTATCAATGTCAATGAATAATGCCAGTATAACTCTGTTAATTGTGAAATGTATAATATTATAATATATTGAAGCATGCAAAGTGCAAATAAATGGTATTCATACTATTTATAATGTGATTTTATTATTTGCAGAATACCTAAATACAGAATAACAATGTTGAACTCTCCATAAGAAGCCTAGGTTTCTGTCATGATGTCCTAATTTTACACAGTCAAGGTGTCAACATGCCCCATTATTAGAGTTTTCTTACTCTTCTTCAGAGTACCTGCTCTTCAAGATGGCCTCCCCTTTACAATTTAAAAAGTGTTTGGTTAATTTTAGAAAAGTTTCTTGTATCCCCACGCCTATACAAAGTGCAAAGTCTGATCAAAGTCTTATGCTCATGGGCTTCTTTAGTCTCCGAAGCCCCTCTTCAAGTATGAGGGTGTGCCCCCAAACCCAACCCCGACTTTCAAAGTTTTATCATTTCACAAGACTGACATGTGCCCCTCCTGGAAATTTTGTGACCCTTGCTTGGTCCCCTCAGCTGATGTTTCCTAGAAACGCCACTGACTAGTAGTACTAGTATTTGTAAAGATGGAGAGTAACAAGATGTAGAATTAGTCAAGGGGAAACAACTGCATTTTAAACATAAGACTACAGACAACAAATATCTTGTACATAGTAGCAGTACTGTAACTGGCCATTCAAAATGACAATTTACATTTTAAAAATGCTGTGAAGATTAATTCAGAGATTTTGAATTACTTGAAAACCCAAAAAAATAATACGGTAGTTTGTCATAAAAGACTAGCGGCAAAAGTTTCATCGAAGTTAGAATTTAGGCTATTCCAGAACTAGTTGTAGAAAGAAGTCAGGAATCTCATTAGCTTGCTTTTATTTGGCTTTTGATACGTGCTCACCATCTTTTACCATTTGGTCGAAGCCGAGAAACACAAGACTGAGCGCTGTGAATGAAATAACTCTCATATAGTCAACAGGAAGTTTGTTTCAAGCGAAGTGGCAGTTTTTCAGAAATGAAATGAAATGAATGGAGTTTTACGTCCTACTCTTCTGCACCATGTGGGCTAATGAAGACGGGCAACGCCATGCAGGGTGCCATGAGGGAAATTTTGCCAGGGCAGCGGCATTAGCCTGCTCTTTTTCGATTTCCAACTGTCGAGGGATCTTTAACGTGCACAGCCTGTAGCACACGAGGCCTCGGTTTATTGTCCCATCCGAACGACTAGACGCTTTTTCCATGTCAGCCCCTCTTACGGCAGTTTTTCAGAAGAAATGGCACAGTGGTATCTATCCAATGATGGTTGATGGGATCAACTAGGAAAAGCGCAGTTTCACGAATATTAATGTTGACTCATTTCAGGACGATTTTGATTTTTGACCACATTGTGACGATTTGACTTAAAACCCCGTCACGTGACAGTCATGTGACATAAACAAAATGAAGGATTGAAACATAGAATTTTATTTTTCAAAATAAATTAACAATTAACCTATTTACCTAATATTGAAATAATGACATCAAGTGAGTCCTATTTATACTTGTCAGATTCTAGCTGTTGCTTTCATAGACCCAAATGATATCGTTTTCCAATAAGCATGTCACGCCATTGGACCCAGTGGTATCAGTGGTATCATTTTACGTTGTCACCTTACAAACAATTTAATGAGCCAATGTGACTCTGCATAATATTTAAGTTTAGATATGATGATGAGCCCTTAGCTTCAATGACCTATCTTAATATAATAGCCTAATCATAAAACACAATTGTCTAATAGTTTAACATTGGGATATGACAGGTAAGAATTTGTAGAATTTGATTATTATAAAGTCTTATCTACTGCAGAGACTAGAAACCAAAATGCATTTTTCCGTACTTGTAGCCTACTATATGTATTTTCTTGTAGAATTCAAACTTGCCTTAATCCAACTGGCAGTAGGAGCATCAAAAGTTGAAAATGTGAAAAATGCTGTGAAGTTTATAAAAGAGGCTGCTGGTAATGGTGCCAAGTTAGTTGCTTTACCAGTGAGTTTTTAACTTTTTGTCAGTCTTTTGGATGCTTGCTGTACGCTGACATTCAAATGTTTTATTTTGCGATCTAGTTCAGTGAGTCTACATAGATCACTTCTTGATACTGCAAATTACATATAAGAAACTTGTAGGCCTATTGGTAGCATTGTATAAGATTTTGTCAATTGGAATTGTTTGGTTACATTGAGTAAATGGTGGTTGTGGGTTTTAATCTAAGTCAGCGTGGGTCCTGCTGTAGGCTAAATTGGTATGGATAATCTTGGAAAGATCAATGCCAAGAGATTTGGTCAAGGATCAGATGGTAGGAAGATTCCACATGTACCAGTGCCTAAGTTTTATCCTTGGTTATTTCTTTCTTTCTTTCTTTGATTAGGAATGTTTCAATTCACCGTATGGTACTAACTATTTTGGAGAGTACGCTGAATCTATCCCGGGACCATCGACAGATTCTCTCTCACAAGCTGCTAAGGACAATCAGGTTTTCTTAGTTGGAGGTAAATATAACACATTTATTGGGTTTGTGCAATTTTAACATATTAAAACCATGCCTCACATAAGAACCAGTAATATTTGTCAAACTTAAGTAGGGATACAGTCTGAAATAGGTCAGTTGTCTGAAGATCACACATTGTAAAACTCTGAGTGAAAACCAAAATGTTTCAGGTTCTGTTTAAATTTCTAACCATTAAATATTTAAGGAAGTCCAACTGCCTGTAGAAGATGACAAACATCATTTCAAAGAACATAATATGTCGCTACAATTAAAAATATATGTAAATCAATAATCTTGTTTTTTTCAGGGTCTATTCCAGAAAGTGAAAATGGTAAACTCTACAACACTAGTACCATATTCAACCCTCAAGGTGAACTTATAGGTAAACATAGAAAGGTGAGTTAAACCTGGCCAGTTTTTTTTTAGCAACGATAGCAGATAAAAACATTATGAATGCATAATGATTAAAAAAAATGTCTCTGGAAAAGCAGAACTTTTTCTTCTGAAATTATTTGGAAGCAGGATGACTCTCAGAAACATTTACTGTGGCATCAGAAAATTTCTTACCTTTAGGAGAATTCAAACCTATAGCACCAAATCACCTGGCAGATGACAATCTAACTTGCTATCGACTGAGCTATTTCATTGGAAGATGAGAAATTCGATTATTTTGGAGAAATTAACTAGGAGCAGAACTTTATTGGTTTCTGTCTTGAAACTGACTTTCAGGAATGGTTTATTTCAGGTACATCTGTTTGATATAGACGTACCAGGTAAAATACGGTTCCAGGAATCTGAAGTTCTAACAGCTGGTAACACTCTGACCATGTTTAATACACGTAAGTTTACTTCTTGCCTAAAAACACTACAGTTTGTTTGGTTCTATAGCCTTCAATGGAGGCAGATGAGGCACTTCAGAAGTTGCACAAGTGTCTTTTTATCAGGTATTTTACATCAAACCAGACTCCTTGCCTTATTTTAACTTGGATTGCGCAGTGACCTTTGATCCTTCTTAGCTTTTAGGGTTGCATCCCTTTTGGAGAGTACACAAAGTTAATACTCGATGTCAAATTTTCAAATGTCCTCAGTTTAATGTCTCAACAACTCTCAACTAAATGAGTAGACAATTTTTCCATGTCAGCACCTCCTTATATTAATCACTAACAGGCAAGAGGGAAATCGGGTTGAACACTCTAAAGGTGTAGCTCACAGGGATTGGCTTTGGAGAGAAGCCTCTGACTTGTTGAGGTCCAGCAAGGGCTCTCAAGTATCATTCGAAGTCTACAGTATCAGTTATTCTTTCAGCATTTTGTAAAGTTGGTGTTGGAATATGTTATGACATCAGATTTGCTGAATTGGCTCAGATTTATACCAGAAGAGGTAAGGTGTTTGTTTTTGAGTCAAACATTTTTTGAATATGATTAAATATCTTAGAAAAGATTCTTGAATCAAAATTTATATTCCTTTTAAAAACAATTCATTAATTTCATTTGTCTAAAGTAAACCCATTCAGAGAGTTCACATAGCTAATAATGTTTATTTGGTATTACAGGCTGCAACTTACTTATCTATCCTGGTGCCTTCAATATGACAACAGGACCAGCACATTGGGAATTACTACAAAGAGGAAGAGCACTGGATAATCAGGTCTATGTAGCTACTGTTAGTCCAGCAAGAGATGAGAAGGCTTCCTATGTTGCTTGGGGACACAGTACTGTCGTCAATCCTTGGTGAGTAACTTATACTTGTTGTCAGAAAGCACCAAATTAATTCTTTTTTTCAATATTTTCCATACAAGGCATGCGTCTATGGCCCTTCTACAATGACTCAGTTTTTTTAATCTCAACCCTGTCTGTTGAGGACCAAGGCCTAGCATGTGTGTGATGAATACCACAGAAGAAAGCCCTTTCTAAACTGTATATAGTTGTATATTTTGGTATATTTCAGGGGTGAAGTTATTTCTACTACAGAACATCAAGAAACAATAGTTTATTCTGATATAGGTAATATTATATTATTTATTTCAATATTATATTTCATACACCTTCAAGTAGATGAACCAGGTTTATATCCATAATATCTTAGGCAAGTTCAAATTTGGGTACTATTCCACAAATATTTCCCGAGTTACGCCCCTTGATATACTAAAAGTAGACCAACTGGACAAAGTATGTGGTGAACACGCTTGGAAGACCACGGTCCGGATTTTGATTTGGTGTCTGAGATTTGTACTTCAGTGATATACTTAATAATGAGATTACTGTATCGTCTGTCCTCTATAACGTATACCGTACAATTGCGTGTATAATGCGCAGTTTTTAAACCTAAAAAGAGTTAGCGAAGTAGGGGTGCACCTTATAGAATTTGAAATGTTTAAGAAAAGATTTCCCAGGCAATTGTAACCAAAATATTAAGTTTTAAATATGTAAATGAGTTTATACAGTTCTTTGGTTATTCTTTCAGATGTGGAATATGCGAAGCAGGTACGAAGTATGGTTCCAATTTCAACGCAGAGACGTGATGATCTTTACAAATTACAAGATGTAACCAAGGGCAATAACTCTTGATCTGTTGTGATCTGAATCCTATTTTAGTGTGTTATCTAATGAGAGAATGAAAAACTAAAGTATATATCTCAGTGACATTTCTATAGCAATATTGCAGTTACAAATGATTTTAAATTCTAAAAAAAGGTTGATGTTGTATAATGAATTATGTAATAAAATTGAAAAAAATGTTGTTATTAAAATCATAAAGTTTTATTCAACAATCTACTTCTATAGTCAAATAGCAGCAGAGAATGTCTTTCCGAGATTGTATTCGGGGTAATGAGGAATTTAACAGAGGCCGCCATTACCGGACAAAGTCTGGAAAATCTCTTTAAGATCTCTTTAACGTGCACATCCTGCAGCCCAGGGGACCCCAGTTTCCTTTCGACCTATGCCGAAATCGAACCCAGAACCTTTAAGTTATTTCAGCTGGAGAATATTCTATTCATTAATATCGACTTTCCAAATGTCACAAACTTACAGAATTCTGTTGTCGACATCATGAAAATATGTAAGCTGATAGCCCATCGATAATTATCATCTTAAGTGTATTCTTTACCTCATTGTGCACTGGTGGTTATTAATTATAGAAAACAATGGAATAATTACCAATGGCTATATAACTGAATCACGTTTTAATATTTCTTTAATATTTACACTTCGTCGACATTTTATTAAGATGTCCAGATGTTAACTTTACTTCATGTAAGAAAATTAAGAAAGCTTTTACATGTAAATATCGCAGGTATATCAGGGACACTGATAGCATCAATTTGCACCAATCCAATACCAGTCAGACGTCTGTGGTTCTCGCGATTCTACTAAAACTAAGCGTTGTGGACGTCAGTATCTCAAAGGCTCATTTAGTTTACATGTAATTGTAAGACTCACAGAAAATTGGAATAGTGCAAATTGAAGCTATCAGTGTGTCGATACACAGAAAAAGTTTTAAAAACCTATTTAAGCAAATTAGAACAGAATAAGTGTTTTTGATACAAGAATAACTACTTTCTTAAAAAAGGGAAACAAAACAGATTTTAACAGTCTATATGTCTACAAATATCAAAAGATGGACTGAATAATTTACGGTAACAAACCCAACAAACTGGTGTCCGAAATGAGGAACAGTTTCTTGTATGTATATTGGATTTTACTTTTCCATTTTATTTTATGTGAATTTCCTCCGATGTCTCAACTAACCACAACTCAAGGTAAGTTTGATAACATTTTTTTTTAGGAATGAAGTGAGAGTACAATAATTGAGGGTTCAAATCATTTTTCTAGAGGGGCAAATAAACCCCCCCCCCCCCCCCCCCTCTCCTTCCTCCTGACAAAATTGTCCAATAACTTTCAACCAGTTACATTTTTATTCATACATAATATTGAAAATCAGAAATATTAAAACAGAAACTGAAACATGTTGTAAACATGTATTTGTAAATGATCTTAACCAGTTACAGATCTGTGTAAGAAGGGTGGTCGAGGTGATCAGGTTTTATACAGGCTAGGTATATGTTACTATCGACCGCCGAACCAGTATGGCTGGCAGGACGCAGTAAAAGTCTGTGAAACAAGGAATACTCATATTGTACATGTAGAAACTACAGAGAAACAGAATTTCATCATGCAGAATACAGGTGGTAAGTACCAACGTTTTTAATATTGCTTTCATAGATCCTGTATAGCTTGACCACGAACTGACAACATTATTGCCTATTGGCTATTGTAGTCAACGTAGACGAAGTTCGTTACAGTTCGATATAGTGAAGATCATACTTTGGGAACACCTGTTGCCACACACTGCGAATGGGTTTGTAGATTTGGCGACCCTTTTGGAGAATCCTCATAGCTAACATTGTTTTTTTGGTATATGTATTACTGGTATGGATCTTATAGTTGTACAATTTTGATATTTCCTTGTTGATTAAAAGGTACAAACTTTCCTCGTGAAGTATGGTTAGGATTAAAAAGGACTCAAGAGAAGAATTGGGCGTGGTTTTATAAGGATAAGCTGTACCCAGCCCTGAACCCACGGTGGTCCACAACCTCACCCCACTCACCGCGACCACATGACGTGGCTCAGACGTTCCACAAAAGGACCTGGGGCAAGATTAATAAAGACCAGAGATTGGAGGTGGTTTGTGAAGATCCTTTCCCACCAGGTGAGTCGAATTCTAGAATCAAAGTAAAAAAATATACATGTAGTCTTAATCCTAGCTTTAACGACTGAAGATGACGGCCATTAGGCAGTGAAATAGCTCAGTCAGTAGCTAGTAAAATTGTCATATGCTAGAACGGTAGAATATCTGCCAGCGGCTGAATTGTCGTCTGCTAGGGCAGAAGAATAGCTCAGTCTGTAATGAGTTTAGATGTCGTCTGCTGGTCGATTAGGTGTCATGGTTTGAATCCTACTCAAGGAAAGATAAATTCGGATGGCACGCCCAATGTGTAAAAGTCGCCCCGCGGCTCGTTTGCATATCCTATCACCAGATGTCTTGGAAAAGTTTCTTCATTGTTCACTGCATTGGGTTGTCCCTGATAAAGACTAGGATAAGGGTTGGGCCAATACAACGGGCATCTCAATTTACACATGTATTTCAGAGCTGACTAATCTATTTTGTGTTAACCATCCAACCACTGCCGCTTCTAAATGGGGGCCATTACCAGACTTCCATTGTTACTATTTTATTGGTATGAACTCTTATACACAAGGTAAACAATTTATGCCAACAAGTTTTTGATGTACAAAAGAGGTTGACTAATGCGTTAGTCCTGCAAAAGTTACTCATTGCGCACTGCATGACGTTGACAATAACAAAATATTCATTCTTTTCTGGGTTCGGGATATACAATAGTACACTAATGCTTTAGTCCAGGTAAAATTCCCTCAATGCATACTGCATGGTGTCGATAATCAGAAGCAGAAATTCTTTTCTCAGGTAAAACTCATAGCAGGATGTACCATATAGTCCACTAATGTCCCGGTAAATATTTGCCTCAATACTGTATGATCAGGAACAGAAAAGTAGGACGTTAAATTCCATTAATTTTCAATTAATTCCGGCCTCTTGTCTCCAGGTAAAACGCAGTGTGAGATGGCATCAACACATCTCATATTTCTGGAGACCCTGGTCGAAGAGTCTTGGATGGAGAAAGAACTGAAAATCCAACAGATTCAACAAAAATATTGGTTAGGAATCGAAAAGAACGCAACAGACCAATGGAACTGGAGTAACAAGAAGTTGAGTCAGCACGAAACAAATCCACGATTTAAGTCCAAGCCGTCTCCGCTAACCCATGCAATCTTTGACAGCTTGAGATTCCATCCAGAATCCGAGTTGAAATGGAAACAGTGGACTGAGGACAGGAGGGAGAACGTGATTTGTGAAGAAAATATATATCCAAGTACGTTTTTGCATCAAGGGGGGATATCTATGAATTTTCTGAAAGGGGAGAGAGATGGGGGTTGTTAAATATTGAAAAATGGAAAAATTAATAAAATGGTCATGGACCTTTCACAGGCCTGATTGGAGGGTGTGACACGAGTTGCTCAGTGGCAAGAGTGTGCGGAAGATTATGGTATCACTCTTTCTTTTCCACTCATAGAGGTTTCCAAAAGAAACAAGACACAAGTGATTCAGAGCTGCAAGAATCTTGACGTTTTCCTTTAATTGTAGAGTTGATATCGGAGTTGCTGTGTTATAGACGAGCTGGTGCCGTGACCGGTATATTCAACCCCACTAATAATCACTGTTATTACGTCTACATTGAGCTGGTACCTTTCTCTGTTGCCAAAAGAGCATGTGAAAGGAGAGGAGGCTATTTAGCCGCTCTTGAAGACACTGAAGAACAACTCTTCGTTGAAAATGAAGCTTACAGTATCCTTTTAAATAACTGCCAGGTCTTTCCGGAACATTTGCAGTTATTATAACTTTTGTAAATTTAGCCGTACCCATTGTATATTTCAATCTGAAAAACTTGACTTGTACTTCCAACCTACATCACTGAAGGGATAAACCTAGTTTGAAAATCATAAAGGCATTCACTCTACCACTGCCGAACCCGAACCCAAGATTTGCAAGAGAGAGGCTCAATGATATCTACGTCAAAGCTTTAACATTCTTTAGATTTTATAGCAAGTTATTCGTTCTGGTTGGGCCTCCGACGAGAAGACGATGGCAATTGGTACTGGTTAGGCCAAGGTGGCAGCCAGACACTGATGGAAAACGACAGATGGGTTGCTGTGGAAAGCGATGGAGCGGGTCATGCTATTACTGTTGAAGGTGGCGAATGGATTCAGGCGAGGATGACAGACACATTTCCTTTTATTTGTGAAGAGGAATACGACAATGGTAAGGGTTACATTTAATTAATAGTCCAGAATATTTGGAGGTGGTTTGATATTACTTTGAAGTTTTGCTTTCACCTGATTAAGCCTTAACATTTTGTGATTAATCGATCATAGAACGTCTACTGTATTTGCCCGAACTGAAAGAGGCATGCTTTGTACAAAACAATGCTCTTTGGGTTTGGAACCTTGGAGATGGAGGGGGCTGAGAGCAAGTCAAAGGACCAGCATCTGGAATTTATCTAAAAGTAAGCTTCTATCAACAGAATAAAATTACAGATGATGTTCATGGGTATTAATGAAACCTTTATCTCTGCTCACACTTGACGTACCTTTACTCATGATACCACCTGATAAGTTGGAATGCTACGAGATACTTTACTAGTCATCATTTAATAAGCTGTGGTTATGCTAGCTGTTTTTGTTAAAAAACATTTTTTTTTTGTTTACAGAAATGGTGATCCACTACAGAGTTTGTACCAAGTTCGTACAAGATGCTATACCAGTGTTTAACTATGAGACGAGGTCCTGCTATTATTTGTTCGATAACATCACGGACTGGAAAACAGCAAGAGAAACATGTTCTTTGTCTCAGACCTATGTTGTTCATCTGGATACTGATAAGGAGCAATCCTGGCTTGTCTCCCTTGTCAAGGGTAAGTTTCATCGCAGCCAGGCCAGAAATGACACAGCATCTACATAAGATGTTACAATGATCACGGGAATGGACTATTTACAGTCTGAGCAAGTAACTTAAATAACAGACGTTCAAAGACAACCATCATAGATTGCCTCTATGGACCCCGGTTGTGTTTGCTTATTGCAACAGCTTTAGATCTCGTTGACATTTATGCCAGACTAGTGCATAATGGGATTTAACTCCGCCCACTCAATGCCAAGGTACAATGTCTTCGGAGTGAAGCTTCAGTTGGAACGACCAACCAGTTTATCTTGTGGCGTTTCGGGTTGGCCTTTTTAGAGCTTTTTCTAACCTATTATCTATTATCTCTATTCTAAGATTTTGGAGTTCACGATAATGTTTGGATCGGTATAGAATCGAGAGCAGCTGGTCAATGGTCTTGGAGGTTCGCTAAGCATGCAGAGGTGACACAGAACAAACGGTTCCCGGGCAGTGCCGAGGGTGGTGAAACCAATGCCAGGATGTTGTCTGATGGAACGTGGGAAAGGGTTTCCCGAGATTCGCTCAGTGGTTTGATTTGCGAGGAGTCTATTTCACCTTGTAAGTTTAGTTATTGCCATTTATATATCCACAAAAGCTGAAGACGTGCGCTTAGGCTTTATGGCTAATGCAGCTGATCTGAAAATAAGACGAATACACAAACCTGGTCTAAAACACAGTCGGAAATAATGAGTTCATTAAGTTCGCATGCTTTGCTTGTATATCTAGGTCGGCATATCGGGACTTAACTGTTGTTTTACAGATTATGGAGATTTGTTTTACTTTAAACGTAAGAGCTTAAGGTCAGCTCTTATTTATTTGATTTTGTGATTTCAGTGGGAATCCAGGAAGCTGAGAGGATGAACGTGGGGAGGATTGTGTATGTCCCTCAAAATGTTCTGGAGGATGAGGAGACCACCACCAGCTTGGATACCACTACTCTGGACAGTACCACAGTGGATACATCGGCTGAAGACACACCTGGGGACCTTACTACAACTGAACCGGTTGCAAATCCAGAACTCACACCTGAAGATTTGACTAGCCCAGAACCCACACCCAAAGATGTGGCTAATCCCGAACCTTCAACATCAACTTCTCCATTTGATCAACATCCGTTCGTATCTGCCTCTCCCACGGGTGACCCCGGATTTACTCGCACTGTCTTTACAGATGCTATTTCATCCACAGACACAGCATCCAGAGAACTACTTAGGTCATCGGAGATCTCAACCTACGACCCCCATACCATATCAAGCTCTTTGACTTTTACATTAGATCCAATGCAGGCGAAATCACCAAATTTCGGTTCCAGTTCGACAGTTGATCCCCTTGCGATAACACCAACACCATCATCTGAGTATCTGACCTCCACGCACCAAACAACCACTGGAGACTGGAGAGGATTCTGTCCCAATGCAGATTCGTATCCTGGTGGGTATGTCATAGAAACACCATATCGAAAGACTATCGTGGGTAATCATGAGAATGTTTCTAAGATAGCGACTTTCTCAAGATCATCGAATCTCCGATGTGCAAAGCAATGTTCATCGATCCCGGATTGTTGGTTCTATACCCGAGACAAGTTTAAAACGTGTACCTTGTACCAAGTCCTTTATGGTGGCTTGGATTCGTTTGATTGTTCTGCAGATGTTCCTTGTTATTTCAAAGCATGTAAGATTTTATATGGTGGATCATAACTATTAAGGAACTTCTTGTAGTATGTTAAGAGAAAATGTGTTTATTTACAAATATACAATACAGTTTTAAGCCATCTTAAACGTTATATTTTAACATCTTTATATCATAGACGTAGTGATGACTTGGAAATAAAAGCTTCTAGTGAAAATGGTTTGCAAATTAGACTACTAATTTATGCATGCAAAACTACATGTCCGTATGGTTCTTTCATGGAAATAACACACTCGAACGTAGTTCACAACCATTTTGAATCTCTACCTCAACTTAATAAGTCTCATTTTTCAGGCCGTAATATGTCAACAAAGCCATTTAGAACCCTGTAAATAGTCGTTTTCTAAATTCGACTTATTAAGTCGAGGAAGAGATTCAAAATGGTTGTGAACTACGTTCGTGTGTGTAATTTCCATGAACGAACTATACGTAGTTTCGTATGCAATTCAAGTGGATAAACCACCTCCTCCCCGAGTAAAACTTAAATACGACTCTCTAAGTAAAGTATTTTTGGTGGAATGCCACTTTAGGTAGTTTTATTTTGAATAAATGAATAAAATACACCAATTTTCATGACCGGAAGTACTAACTCTCGCGCTAATTAAACTGTGTCTGTAGTCTGCCGTCTCAACCGGAAGTGGTGATGTGCAGTATAAAAAGTGGTCGTGGTAAAAACTGCTATTCCAATAATACTTGATAGCTGAAATACAAATCATGTATCATAGCAATAGTAAGATTGAAAGGGTAACTGTTTAGTGCTGGAAATTTTAGGTTGTAACATTGCGGTTAACTAATGCTACGAAAGAACAAGCACTCTCTAGTGTGAGAGCATTGTTTGTTTAGGGTTAACACTATTTCATTCATCGGGAGTATTTATAGTTGAGCACCGATGCATGTGCTCAACCAGGTGCAAAGCAGAACAGTTCGTTTTGTTTTGAAGTAGACTTAACATGTAGTTATTGAAACCATACCAGTCTAATCTTGTTCCAAGAGGTTACTCAGATATCCCTTATGGTGTCTGATGGTACCCCCAGGCGCACTAGTATACCAGGCTTTTAAAAGAGGTTTCTTAAAGACAAATTTTTATAAAACAAAGTAAAGCCCCACCTTCATCCATATATGGTATCTAGTCCATATATCCATAAGCTGTACTCGTAATAAGGCTATAGTGCACGGTAGGTAGGCTTCTGTTCTCTTCGACTCTTTACATCTGGAAGATAGCCAGATGTACATGTTTAATGTTTCATTTTATATGTAATATTTTAGGAGTCACTTTACGTGTTATTCGAACTAATTCTTTCTGTCATCCATGATCTGACCGATTCGGTGATATACATTGTTAACAGAGATGCCTTACTTGGAGTATAAGGTAGTTAAAATGGTTGTATTATCTTTTCGGAGTTGTTTTGTTACACCAACACTGTGAAGAATATTTTGTGATATTGGTACACCTTCCTCTATCATCATTCCAATGGTAAATATAGCCTATAAATAGTAACAGATTATAAATAGCTTGATGCATATATGCACTTTGAATCATGATCT